GGGGAAAAGGAAAAAAAAAAAAAAAAGAGAAAAGAAAAAGCTTACTTCGGCATTGGTACTTCTTATGTATTATAATTATCTCATTAATAATTCTCACTGTGTAATGGACATCACTGAAAGGAGAAATAAAACAAAGCCAACAAAAACATTAGATTCAAAAATGCCCTACATTCATTATACCATTGAAAATTGAATTTTGAAAATTAAAGTATATTTCCAAAATACCTTCAAGGTGAACTCCTTCGTCCTTGCTTAGAAAATATTTGCAGTAGATTAAGCAACGAATGCTACTACCAAAGATAACCTACTAATCTCATGCACTAAACACAAATTCATACTGAGGAAAATTCATTTGAAGAATTACAATACATTGACAATCTATTGAAAAAATTTGTGTTGACTAGTACAACAAAGTCAAAGTTTTATGGGTTTTATATTTAAAATTATGTTACAAATCAAAAATAAAACAAAAAGCAACAAAAACATTTTTTTAAAGAAAATATAATGATTTTGCTATTTTATCAGTTTATGTTAGATAACTTTACAAATTAAACTTTTTCATGAAAGACATGATACAATAAATATTCATTAACCAAACAATTTAAGTTATAGAGCAAAGTACCTTAATTTTAGATGCAAGATCCATTTCTAAGAGTGATTTATTACCTATAAAATTATTTAATACAATCAATGTATGATAGATTTTAAAAATACAGTATCGAAGTAAGACATCAAGGGTTGCAGTTTTTTTGTTCGCAAAAATGATAACTTGTACATAGATTAATGTAGAAACTTATGCCAAGATAAAAATGAATCCAAGTATCTATTCTATAGATTGAACTCCTAAATAATCATCACCTAAAAGAAATTTAAAGCTTGGTACTTGACCTATTCACATCATATTAATTGATGGATGGTAGCATTGGATCCATGCCAAATCTAGATACTCCAGAAGTATTGGGTTTAGCATGCTTCACCCTACCAAAATAGTAGCTCTGGCACAAGAGCCTAGCCAGGAAACTGTTATGGCAAACTATTGAGCTATCACACAGAGATACCACATGTTTACGTGCCTTTTTTATGGCAACATTCATTCGACTACTATCTCCTACGAATCCGACAGCTCCTAAAGTGTTTGACCATACCTAAATCAGTAACAGGCATTTCACATTCATCATATTTAGATCAATCAAGCATTTTTGTTGATAATGACACGGTTTCAAGCAATCCATGATTAAAGCACTAATTTAGAAAACTTTATTAAGGCATATAAAGAAACTTCATTCTCAAAACTCAATATATGTTTAATAATCACCATGTATTAAAGGTTATGTCTGAAAATATTTACCTCATAGCAGTGTAAAGGAGGCAATTTTCCATTTTGTATGGCTAGAAAAAACAAAAAAAAAAAAGAAAAGAAATGGATTACTATACTAATAAGTAGTGTATTTCCTAATTTAATCATGTCAGTGTGATGTGATAGAAATACCAATCTTTCACCAACCATCTATAACCTCAATTAGCTGCAAGGTATTCAACAAATTCTCGATAGGATCTTAGCATTCCAAAAAAAATTCCAGTGAGGACATCATTAATTATAAGGCAAACAAACATTCTATCAACAAAATGACTATCCTTAACCTAAGTTCATATATATCTCAGCCAGGTTCATAAACTACATAGGACACCAAGAATTTTTATTTCTAACGAGAATCCAATCTTCACCAGTCTATTTTGGTAGGAGTTTATGAAATTATTGGGAATCATGGTTCATCTAGGTACAGTTTATCATCCAAAATCTGATGGGCAAATCGAAAAAGTTACAACTTACCATCCAAAATTTTATGGGCAAACTGAGAAGATTAATCGGTGTTTGGAGCAATATTCATAGTGTATGTGTATGTATTTTCTTAAGCCTAAGAGTTAGGTTCAATGGCTACTATTAGTCAAATGTTGGTATAATACAAGCTACCACAATTCTTTGGGAATGTCTCCATTTTAGGTTATGTATGCTTATAAACCACCATCCTTAACATAGGATGCAAGTAGTCTAGCAAGACTGACGAATGTGGAAGAGTTACTAAAAGATAGAGAACAAGTCAGTAGGTTGATGGTTGAACAATTGAATAAAGCTCAACAAAGGATTAAATTGTATGCTGACAGGAAAAGAAGTGAAAAAGAGTTCTAAATGAGAGATGAAGGGTATTTAAAACTCCAATCCTATAAACAAACCTCTTTGGCCTTTCAAAAAGTTTAAAACTTTCATCCAAATATTATGGTCCATATCCTATATTAGCCAAGATTGGTTTAGTTGCTTATTAATTACAGTTACCTCCTACTTCTAAGATTCATCCAGTATTTCATGTTAGCTTGTTAAAAAAAAAGTTAGGAAACAAGGTAGTTCCCAACTTAGCTCTATCGAAAAGTAACAAGGATGGGCAACCATTTGTATTTCTTGTTACTGTGATTGATAAACAAATGGTTAAGAGGCAAAATAGGGTTGTCACTCAACTCTTGGTGGCATGGTCTAATTTAAGACCTGATAATACAACTTAGGAAGACTATATAGTATTGAAGTCACAGTTTCCAAGTTTTGATCCTTGGGGACAAGGATTTGGTGAAAGGGAAGTTATTGTGATAAGCTTGATGAAAAAGAGTAAGAGCGGCATGAGCAAGACTATGGCAAAGAATGAGCAAAAATCACTAAGAGATGAGCTTAAAGCTAACAACAAAATGGGTAAACACAAAAAGGAAGATAGTGATGTCAATTATTAACCTATTGGCTAGGAATACTTTACAATTTTGTATTTTTTGCACTTTTGCACGACCATTCCAAGATAGTTGTATTTAAATAATTCATTGGCTGTAACTAACTTTCATGAATGAAAAAAATACTTTCTTCTTTCAATTCTCTTATGTTATCTTCTTAGTCTTCTTATTCTTTAAAACCTTAACCAAGTCACAATTGATTAATGATAGACGGAGTAATGGGAGTGCAACAAGGGCTAAGGAGAAAAAGGTTTAGGGATTTAGGAATTTTGAGGGAGAAAATAAGAAAGGGATTTAGGGATTTGGTTTTTATAGTATTTACTAACAGAATTCTATAGATAACCAAATTTTATTAATTAATTTATTTTTATATTCCTTAAGTTATTCCCATTTTATTTTTTTACTAATATTTTTTACAGATTGATTAATCTATCGTTATATATGTTACCAACAAATTAATTCTTTTATAATTCCTTTGCTAATTTTTTCCCCTCCCACCAAATATTTATCTATGAAATACCATCAGAATTTTTTCAGTAAGCAAATTTTGTCAGTATTCTAACGATTTTTCTGTGGTTCTATTATAATTATATTATGTCAGTAATCCATCGGTAATTACCGATGAAAAAATTCTGTCAGTAAAATTTGATTGATGTTGAACAAATTTCTAGTAACCAATGTTTGATCATAAATAAATGTTTAAACATAAACTTTTATATTATATTTAAACAAACTAACATGGTTATTCATCAGATATGATTATTCAATAACAATAAAAAAAAATTTATGTATAATCATTTGCATTACTTCTACTTAAAGAGTTTTAAAACTTTATTATATCTAGAGATATAATTAGCTTTAAAAAATATATTTTTTACATCTAAAAATCAAATTCATTTCTATTATTTCTATTCTCTTATAAATTCTTTTAACATTTGCAACTTCCAACAAAGAAAACAAGTGAAACCCATTTGTAGGCATGGCACTGCACTCTGAACAAATATCACGTATCTTTAAATCTAAAACTTACAATCGATCATGCTTGTCTCATTAACATAGGTTTCTCCGTTAAACCGTAATTTAAAATTCAAAAAATTCAAAGATGTGTAAATGAACTGAAATTCTCAGATGGGTTGAACTGATCTTCACTTCATCTTAACCACAAAATCAAACAAAGTTTTGAATTGCTCTTCACTGATAGTTCTCAAAATAGAGATTTCATGTTCAAATCATGAAACAAGGAATAGAATTTATGGGATTAAAGGTAATTATCTCTCGTTGTGTGGTCTAAAATATTTTGTACCCAAAAAAAATCAAGTCGTGTCCAGGGTGACCAGGTCAATTACATCATTGCTGCTTTTGTAATTATCATTCAACCACTAGCTATCCGGTAGTAGCCAATCGTATTTGAAAATTCATTGCTTTGATACAGGAAATTTTAGCTAGAAGAATGCCTATATATAGAGTCCATAATTCCCATTTCTTATACAAATTTTTTGTAGCTATTTGCAACTTCCTACATAGAAACCAAGTGAAACACAATTGCTGGCATGGCACTGCAAGTAAGTATCTCGTATAAGCTGATCATGCCTGTCACATTAATATAGGTTTTTTTTTTTTTTCTGTTAAACCGTAATTTAAAATTCAGAAAATCAAAGATGGTAAATAAGCTAAAATTCTTAGATGGGTTGAATTGATCTTCACTTCATCTTTTAGCCAAAAAGCCGAGAAAAGCATTGAATTATTCTTCCACTGCTAAATGGACCATTTCATTTATAAGTTGTTAGAGGTTTTTAATAAAATATTTTGTTTTTTAAATATTTTGTTTGATGATTCTATTTAATTAGTTTGTTTTAAATATGAAAAATTAAGAATTTAAAATATAATTTAATTTAAATTTTTTTATTATTATTCAAAAATTAACCAAATCAAATTTGATTAATTAAACTTTTGAAATTAATAAATTAGTTTGGTTAATAAAAATAAAATAAATTAATTTAATTAATTCAATTTTGATTAATTTGATTCGTAATTAACCATACCAGTTGAATGAATACTCTTAATTTAAGTATTATTACTCGTTAACAGTATTTTAATTTATGAAAATAGAGAGGAGAAAACGAACAAGATTTAAAAAAAAATACAAAAGTGACAAATAACTAATGTTTTAATTTAGGTATGCTATGAATACTTTGCATTTTATTTCTAACATAGTTTTATACAATTTACAGGCGAAACTACTGGAAGACAGTGTTTCCATTGACATAGGCAAAATGCTTGAGAGTAATTTATCAGAAAAATCACCCGAGCCTTGCATTTCCTTAGTACCTAATTATCTTCATCGGGCAAACGAGAAGGCGTACGAACCACAGGTAATTTCAATCGGTCCATATCACCGGCATAAGAATCACTTAGTGGCAATGAAAGAGCAAAAGATTCACTTTCTTCAAAAGCTTCTTGAAGAAAGAGGAGGGATTGATGTTTCAGTATATGTCATGAAAATGAGAAAATTAGAAGTTAAAGCTCGCAAATGCTATGCAGAACCGGTGAGTGACCTTGACTCAGATGATTTCGTTAAAGTGTTGCTACTTGATGGTGTCTTTATTGTCCAGATAATTCGCTTGCATTTAAACGAGTCTCAAGAAAATTTGCCGGATGTGGTAGGTTACAGCAATGGTTTTTATCTTGCTTTATCTCATGACTTGTTATTAGTCGAAAATCAACTTCCCTTCTTTGTCCTTTGGGAGTTATTTTGTATGATTGAGAATAGGGATGATAAAGATATGATCTTCAAGAAAGCAATTTGTAAGATGTTGGACAAAATAGTACCAGACAAAAGGCAGCGCCAGAGAGAAGATCCGACGTCCTTGAGATTATCAGATATCAAGCATTTACTCGACTTCACGTATCACTACTGCTTTCATCCTTCAACTTCGGAAGTGGTTAATGGAGATCCGAATTGCTTTAGATCATGTATCAAGTATTTACTCGACTTAGGGTATCACTGTTGTTGCCCTCCTTCAACTTCACAAAAAAAGAATGATTTCATTCGTTGTGCCACAGAGCTCAAAGAGGCTGGAATCAAATTCAAATTGGTCGATGGAAATACCAGGTTCAATTTCGATATAAAGTTTGCAAATGGGACTTTACATATACCTAAAATTAAAATAGGAGACTATACGGAACCTTTCCTCCGAAGTCTCATTGCCTATGAGCAGCTGTTCCTAGCAGACAGAAAGCATGTCTCCGATTTTATGATTGTTATGGACTACCTTATTGACACTCCAAAAGATGTGGAAATACTTTGCCAACATAGAATTATTAAGAACATGTTAGGTAATGACAAAGCAGTTGCCACCATGATTAATGGTCTAGTCGTCGGTGTCATCTACTCCCCCTGCAGCTTCTATTACACTAAAGTATTCGACGAGATAAACGAACATCGCAGTAAACGTTGGCACCGCTGGATGGCAAACTTGAACCACAACTATTTTAACAGTCCATGGGCACTCATTTCCTGTCTGGCGGCTGCTCTGATCCTTCTACTTACACTGCTGCAAACTGTATTTTCAGTTCTCCCTTATGTTAAATGAATTCCCACACTCTAATGTGTTCTCTTATTATTAATATCTCAACAATGGAGTTCCTACTCCAAGTTTATGTAATTTACTTTGATAAATAAATCCATTAAAGATAATCATAATTAAGTTATTGAAGTATATTTATGTTTTTTTCTTCTATTTTTTGCCTTTTAATTTTTTGTTTTAATAAATTTATTAACTATATATGTTAATGATTTTATTATCTGTTTTATGAGTTGATCATTTGATTATTGATAAAATAATTAAATTTTTTAGCTCCTTAAAATAATTCCTTATGATATATTATTTTTACAATTTAGTCTGACCTCTATAATTAATTTTTCTTTTGTATTTTTCTCTAAAATTTTATAATTGTTATTCACATGAACAAAAACTAATATTAAATCCAAAGTAAATCAATGTTAGATATTGACTCAAATTCTAATTGGAAATCAGTTTGAATTCTAATTAAATTCTATTAGTTAAAGAATTACTTAATAATTAAGTTTATTTAAGGATAAATATTTTTAATGGGTAAGAGTTGTCATAACGTCTAGATCCGGGGATCTATCGCTAAACATTGACTTAAGGGAGTCGCCACCAATCTTTTTTATCTAGGTGCGATTGGTCACCTAAAGAATCTGTCATTTTAGGGAACACCTAAGTTTAAGGGTCCCTAAAAGAATAGGTTCAGGTCTACTAACCAGAACAGAGTTCGGGAGTTCGGTTACGTGTGAGGAAGGTTATAGCACCCTCACAACGCCCATCAAAAGATGGTACTAGCATAATTTGTGTTATCCAAAAGCCTTAAAATTTTACCAAGTAATTAGTTGTCGAAAATTATTCTCAATTGACTCTAATACTTTTAGCAGAAAATTGAGAAAATTCCCTCACCTCAAGAGTATGCAAGAAGAACTACTGTTTCACTTGCAGAGGCTCCGTCGTCGGATTAGTTAAATCAAAATCAAAATAGAAAGGAAGGAAAGGATGATTGTTCTTGCGTAGGGAAAATTGATACTTTCAACTTTTTCCCAAAATATTTGTTGAAAATTTATTTTTAAGGAAAATTGATACTTTCAACTTTTCCTCAAAAATATTTTTTCTGAAACTTTGATTTCCAAGGAAAATTGATACTTTCAACTTTTCCTCAAAAATTCCTTTTTTGAAAATTTATTTTTCGGAAATTTTGATTTTCAAGCAAAATTGATACTTTCAACTTTTCCCCAAAAATATTTTTTTGAAACTTTTATTTTCAAGGAAAATTGATACTTTCAACTTTTCCTCAAAAACCTTTTTTTTTTAAATTTTATTTTTAAGGAAAATTGATACTTTCAACTTTTCCCTAAAAATATTTTTTTTGAAACTTTTGATTTTTATTTAAAGAAAATAGAATAATAAAAAAAGTGAAAATAAATAAAAATAAAAAATAAAGAAAAGTAAAACAAAAATAAAAATAAAATAAAGATAAAAAATATTAAATAAACCTAATCTAATAAATAAATAAAATAAAAAAAATTCAAAAAAAAAAACCTGGAGCGGCTCGAATCGCGGCTCGGCTCGGCTCGGCTCAAGGAAGAGAAACGACTTGGGTTGGCGGCTTGGGAAGCTCGACTCGGCTCGGCTCGGCTTGGCTCAGAGGGGGGCAGGCACGCACGGGTCAAGAAGCGAGTCGACGCTCGGGTCGGTTCGGGTTTCGACAAAACGCGCGGATCCTCTGGGTCACTTAAAGCCAAAACGACGTCATTTCGGGAGGGTATAAAAGGCAGTTCCCTTCGTTTTTCGGCAGAAACCTTCTCCCCTCTCTCTCTCTTCTCCCCTTTTCTCTCCCTTCCCTCTAAAGGCTGAAGAACACCGGTGGAATTTTCGTCGGATTCTGGAAAATGTCACCGGAATCTGGAAATTTCGTCAGAAGTTCACCGGGAGTTGGCCGGAAGATCACCGGTTTCTGGGATTCTTGTCGAAAACTAGGCAGGTCGCCGAAAACTTCAAGGTTGGCCGAAATTGTCGTCGGAAAACTCAAACTTCGTCGGAAAATTCACCGGAATCTGGAATTTCCAAAAATTCCCAGAAAAAAAAAATCACCAAAAATTTTAAAAAATTTCTGCTAGCTCCCAAAACACTCTTAAACTTTTCTTAGCTTCCTATACGCCTCCTTTTCTCTCAAATTAGTAGCTTTGCTCACTGTTTTCTGTGTGTGTTCTGCATCTGTTCCAGGAGGTCCCTTTTATAGGGATTGATCAGGAGTTCCTGATCAATCCCAATTCCTCCTTTGACGGGGATTCAATCTTTGAATCCAATATGGACTCTCTTGATTGAATTCCCCTTCACAGTGGGATTCTTCAACTTTCAATCCCAGCCCTCCAAAATCAAATAAAATAAAAAAAATAGATAATTAGAAAAGATAGGATAAATAAAAAAATAATAATAATATCAGATATACAAAAAATCAGATAAACGGAACAAGAGAGAAAGAAAAGAAAAAAAATTATTAACAGATAATACAATAAGATAAATAAAAAAAAATATTACAAGAAAAAAATAAATAATAAAAAATAATAAATAAATTATAATATATAATAAATATAAATATTAACAAACACAAAAAAAAAAAAATAAATAAGTAAAAATATACATATAATAATAATAAATAATAAAATACATAAAATACAAAAGAAAAGAAAAGAAAAGAGAAAAATAATAATAATACAAAGTAAAAAATTGCATTAGGCTTACCTATTTGGGTTAGGCCCAATTGATCTGGGCTAGGACCCAATTAGGTGTCTACAGCTGCCCCTCTTTGCACATTTTCTGTGAAACAGAAATTGCGCAAAGACGTAGACACCCAATCAAGACTCAACTCAACATTGTCATTTTTTATTTTTTGTTCTTTTGTGTTTTTTTTATTTTTTTGTTTTTTTTGTTTTTTATTTTTTTTGTTTTTTTTTTTACCAAAGCTCATCTAAAGAGAGGCACCACGACTTTGAGAAACATAAATTGCTCCTCTAAACAGAGGCACCACGACTTTGAAAAATAAATTGCTCCTCTAAACAGAGGCACCACGACTTTGGAAAGTAAATTGCTCCTCTAAACAGAGGCACCACGACCTCCTCTAAATAGAGGCACCATGACTTTGGAAAATAAATTGCTCCTCTAAACAGAGGTGCCTCTGGAAAATAAATTGCTCCCCTAAACAGAGGCACCACGACTTTGAAAATAAATTGCTCCTCTAAACAAAGGCACCACGACTTTGGAAAGTAAATTGCTCCTCTAAACAGAGGCAACGGAACTTTGGAAAGTAAATTGCTCCTTGACAATCGTGTCCAAAGGAGTTGAAAGTTGTGTTTGAAGGAATTTCAGGGGGATTATGCCCAAAGGTCTTATAAATCAACCCTGATACCAGAAGACATCCTATTTCAAGGATTAGGGACTTACTTGACAAGCTTTTTCTTTTTCAATTTTGCAAAATATCTTCATATCTGTCTTTTCTATGTGGGATGTTGGAACACCCCTGCTTCTTGAATTTGTACACTATACTTTCCTGAAAGTAGTGTATGATGTGCAAATGCATATGAATTTCAATGCATGTTATGCAAATGTTGGCCAATTAATTCCTGTTCAATGTATGGTACTCAAGTTTCTCAAGCTTTTCTTGGGCATCAAGCCTTTTGATTCTTCAGAGATCCAATTACACTGTTCTTCTAAGATCGAACCAGTGTAGCTCATATTCTTTCTGTAACAAAAAAATCTCTTCCCAAATTCAATGTCCTAATCAGGAGCTGAACATCTTGATTCTGCCTTTTTCACTTTTGACTTATTCAATGTAATGTAAAGATCTTTTTATGTTGTTATTCATTCATCAATCATTATTTCAAACTCAAAAAGTGAGAATGCATTTGCACATTTCTTCATGGTGGGGTATTGAGAAGAAAAGAATATGAATGGTTGGGAAACAGTTATCAGGAAAAGGCACAAAGAATGAAATAACGTTTCTTATTAGCAAAATGTTGGCAAACTTTGGCCAAGAGAAAATTACAAGGATAGGTATGGGGACAAAGCCTAAAATGAACAATCAGATAATCATGATAACACATCTCAAAGTTTTTTCTGAAAACTCAACCCTCTGATGTATTTAACAACTTGGAACTCTTTCGAATTTGCTAACCTCCATATCAGCAGACTTTCAACTTCGATGTTGTATTCTCCTTATCTAAGCCGCCTTTTCAGGTTTTCAACTTAGACAAAACCCCCTATGACTCAAACCGCCCTTTTTGGGTTTTCGCCTTGAGTCCTCCTTTTTCATTCACTTTTTCTTTTTTCTTTTTTTCATTTTTTCATTTCATTTTTCATTTTTTTCATTTTTTCATTTTTTCATTTTTTTATTTTTTATTTTTTTCAAGCATAGTATTTCTTCACAGCATCAGAATTTATAGGATGGGGTAAATCATTTCCATCCATCTCAGTCAGTATTAGCGCTCCACCTGAAAAAGCCCGTTTCACCACATACGGTCATTCCCAATTTGGAGTCCATTTTCCTCTACTATCGTGTTGCATTGGGAGAATTCTTTTCAAGACCAACTCTCCTTTTCGAAAACGACGGGGCTAAATTTTCCTATCATGAGCTCTCATCATCCTTCTTTGATATAACTGACCATGGCACAGTGCAATCAATCTCTTTTCTTCTATGAAATTTAACTGCTCATAACGTTTTCGAATCCATTCAGCTTCTTCCAACTTGACTTCTTTAAAGACTCTCAAAGAGGGGATCTCTACTTCCACTAGTAGTACGACTTCCATCCTATAAACCAAAAAAAATGGGGTTGCCCTAGTAGAGGTGCGAACTGACGTTCAATATGCATGCAATGCGAATGGCAACTTCTCATTCCAATCTTTGTAAGTCTAGGTCATCTTCTCCAAAATCCTCTTTATGTTCTTATTGGCTGCCTCAACTGCCTCATTCATTTTCGGACGGTATGGTGCCGAGCTATGATGCTTGATCTTGTATTGATCACATA